TGAAGCTGCCAGGCTCCTTCCTGATCCCGCTGGGAGTCAGGCAGGGGCTGGTGAGTGCTTGAGCCCCTGGGGAAGGGGTGCTGCAGGCTCGCCCCAGGAGGCACGCAGGGACCCTGGCCATCCTCGGAGCAGGCGAAACCTTGGGGCATGCCGCGGGATTTTGCTGCCCCGGTGCCAGCCCCAGGGCCACAGGCTGCTGGGGGCTTAAAAGGGGGAACGAGGGGAGTGCTGGGCTCCAGGCGGGGCAGGGGCATAATCCACCATTGTCACGGGCTCAGCAGTGACCGCAGACTTAGCCCTGTCCTTCGGGAGAGGACAGTCGTGAGGCCAGCCTGAGACAAGCCAGGGAGACATCTTGCCTGCAGATTTCTCCCTGCCTGGGAGATCTTGGGTGGGTGCGAGCTCCTTCCCACACCCCAGTGTCCCCCTTTGCAGTGGCAGGTTGCCCGGCCGGCTGAGCTGGACCTGTGTGTGTAACGCAGCTGACACTTGCAGTGCTGCGGCCCTACAATGACTCTGGGATGAGGAGCCCAGATGCCCTGTATCGTCCAAGCTGTTAAACTCTTTATTACCATCTTTCTGCCTTGCGGCTGCAGGCATTTAATCTTGCAGAAGTTCTGCTCTGTTGGGGCAACCCTGTCCCCCAGCAGACGTCCCACCGTCCCCTGCGTGGAGGGGTGGACATGTTCCACGCTGGAGCAGCCGCTGTGAGTTTGGGCCGGTGCAGACCTCCCCACGTGCAGGTTCAGGGGGACAGACTGGGCAGTGCAGTAGGGTGTACGCGGGGCGAGGGTGTTTCCCCAGTGGTGGTTTCCTCCCAGCAAGCGCTGGGCAGATAGTGATGGTCAACAAGACTTTCCTCGGCACCATCCCATTGGGACCAGCTGTACACGTCCTCCCTGGAATGAGACCTTGCAGCGCTTGCTTTGCTTCCCACAGAGATGGCCCTCCAAGCAGCATTTCTCTCCCAGTGCATGACCTTGGTACCCCAAACCCACCCAACTTGCAACGATTGCTCCCCGGGATGCACCCTGCTCTGCTGGTGGTGGGGCTCCTGATCAGTGAGCAAAGGATAACCTCCCCTCATTTCTCCTTCCACCTTCAGCGGTCCTGCTCCTGTGCAGGGTTGCTGCCCACGGCGTGTTTGCAGAGAGCCCCACTAACCTCCTCTTAATGGCTGAGCCTTTTTTTCCACAAGCTTTATTTTTTTCCATGAGAAACGGGGAGATTACATGCAACTCCAGCAGAATAAACTGGTGTCCAGCAACTAACCCCATCTTGCTGTAGCCTGCGGTGTTGGGGTGGACCAGCCACTTACCCTGGCCAGAGATTAACTTATTAATTACTTAGATGAGTTCACTCTCAGCTGGTGTTGGAGTACAGAGCATTTTTGGCGTCTGTTTCGGAAACTGGTGGCGTGTTTCAGAAAAGACAAACTGGGATCTTGGAGTTGCTTGGAGCCCGGGAAGAGTGCCTGTATGGAGGGAGCTGTGGGTCTCCCGGCATCAAGGTCATGCATGAAACATGAGAAATTACCCTGAGAAATTCTGATCCTGGAGGAGGAGTTCATGACTTCAGAAATACCAGATTTGGGAGGGGATGGAAGGGGAAGGGATTTATTTTCCTTTTCAAAATACCTAAGGAATTCACCCCTTGCTGCGGAGACAATGAAATTTCACCCCTCGGTGCCAGAAGGGGTAGTTCATACCCACGTGTCTCGTTAAGGTTTCAGTTGCCGTGGGTGAAAAGCCCTCCCATCCCACTGCAATCCCAGGCAAGTACAGTTTTTAAATTGCCCTAAAATCAAGAGAGTGGCTCAAATGTGAGATTTAAAGGAAACACTGCATGTCCTCTATTGGCTCTGATGGCTTTAGGTTAGATTTTGGTCACTTTTTCCAGCTGTGAGGGGTTATTAAATTAACTTATACATATAAAAAAAGTTATTTTTGTATGTATATATTTATGTATATATTTGCGATTTCACATAATTGTATGATTCCAGGAGTGGAGCACCCTGAGGTTTGTTACAAAACACAAAGGTTGGCAGCTCTGCCACAGCAGCTGCAGGGCGGCAGTAAGGTCTCGATGGTACATTCATGTCCAGGGCTGCTCGGTCCATCCCTTGGGAGTCC